CAGCCACCAAAATATATCTTCTGCCGCCTGTGGCAGGCGTATAGGGACCTAAGATGTCCATGCCCCATTTTGCAAATGGGACCGGCCTGTAGATAGTAGTCAGGTCTGTTACCGGACGGTGTATGAGCCGGCCAAACCTCTGGCACTTGTCACATTTCTTCACCAATTCCATGGCGTCTGCCTCAAGGGTGGGACAAAAGTAGCCTTGCCGCCTAGCCCTCTTTGCCCGCCTATATGTGATGCACAAAAGCCCCCATGCAGGTCCTCTAGCACCTCTTTTCCCCTTCCTGGGGTAACACACTTTAGCAACGGCTGGAGGTAACCCTTTCTGAAGAGTTCCCCCTTGTACATTTCGAAGCTCAAAGCTCGCTTCTTCAATGCTGCCGCCTTTGAAGGGGCATCCGGCAGAGTGCCGTCTACCAAATATTCTCGGATGGGGTCCATCCAGGTAGAGCTTCGGTCAAGGACTCCAATGGGATCATGTTCAATACTTATTTTTTCCATGACCTCCCAGAAGACTGACCTAGGCGTATCACAAGTGGCGGATGAGGCCAGTTTGGACAAAGCATCCGCCTGATTGTTCTCTGACCGGGGCACCTGACTTAGATGAAACTCATCAAGTGTCCCAGCCTCCTCCTTGACCGCTTGCAGGTATTTAATCATTGCCGGATGGGTGGCCTCATAGTCATTTTTTCTTGTATATTATTTAGTTGTGTTCCTTTCCATCCCTTTCCCACCCTTTGGTCTTGTTTTAAGCATTAAGGACAATGCTTCATTATTCAAGCTTAGGGGAGAGGATAGTTTAATTTTTTCTTCATTTCTCTCCCTTTCTCAAAAAATGGATTATAACATTTTTCAAACTTTTATTATAACACCACATAAAAATCCAGAAAGTGGATTTCACCACCACTCAGCAATTTTTTGGATGGAATCCATTAGTGGGGCCCTCAAACGACATGTGTCAATAACCTATTGGTTAAAAATAAAAAAATTAAAAAAAAACAAAAAGAAAAAAAAAAACTTTAATAACTAACCCAACCAAGCCCCACCACCGGTATAACCTGCCCTAGTCGCTGACAACCCAAACCTAGTCGCCGACACCCCCTGCCCCCACTAAAATCGGTGACTCAACCACTTCCCCCCTTCCCCCTCCCCGAAAACCACCCAGCCCCGCAACCACCCCACGCACCGCATGAATCCACCAAAGCAAAGCAGCCCCCGCAACTACCTCGCGCACCGTACCGAACCACACAACCACCTCGCGCACCGCACCTCCCCTGTCATGCCCGGCAACCTCGCGCACTCAAGAGAGCAATCTAGGTTCAATTATAGGCAATTCTGGGTTTAAGGTTTGTCGATTCCGGTTGTTTTAGGGGTTGGGGTGGCTACTGTAGTGGTTTTCGGGGAGGGGGAAAAGGGGTAGGATCGGGTTTGTTAATTTGGAGAAAGGGAGGGGTGGTTTGGGTGGTTCTACCGCTGAAGCAGGGGGTTTCAGCGGCGGTGGGAGGAGTTGGGCTGCCGGCGTTGGAGGAGTAAAGCTATCGGTGGTGGAGGAGTATGGTTAGGTTGGGGTTTAGGTTTTTTTAATTTTTTTTAAAACCAATATAGCATTGACACGTGTCCAAAGTGAGCCCCACTAATGGATACCATCTAAGAATCCAGTAAGTGGTGGTGAAGTCAATTTTTTGTATTTTTATGTGGTGTTATAATAAGAGTTTGAGATTTTATGGTGTTATAATCCAATTTTTGAGAAATTTGTGGTGTTATTTCAAAATTTATTTCCTTATTTTCACTAGTAGAAAAAAGTAAATGGGAAGCCCCAAATGGGGAGCGGTTATTTGTGGGTCCGCCTCTAAATATATTATAAAGCATTTTCGATTGACGGATAAGTAGGGATGTCAGTGGGGCGGGTCAAGTAGGAGACCCACCCCATCCCCGCCTCAGTGGGGCGGGGATGAGTCTTGGTTTGGTGGGTGGTGGGGTGGGTATAGGGATAAAAATTATACCCTCCATGGGTGATGGGGCGGGGGTGGATTTTACATTGTACCCGCCTCATCCCCACCTCACACCCACATCTATATATTTTTAACAACAAAATTATATACTTTTATACTATTTTATATATAAAAAAAATTATAACTAAAAAAGAGTGTAATATTAACATTTTTCTTTTGTTTTTTGGTAATCTATATTAATTATGTTGGATTGTGTGTTGGGAGGTGGGGATTAGGCGGGTCTTAGGGGGGGATTTAGTGGAGATGGATATCTAAGTGGGGAGTGGGGCGGAGATGGTTTTGGAATTGTACTCGCCGGGGCGGGGATGGGGAAGAATTTTGGACCCGCCGCGGGGATGGGGTGGGGATGAGGATGAAAATTTTAGGTGGGGGTAGGGATGAGAAGGCCAACATCCGCCCCGCCCCGCTCCATAGACATCCCTACGGATAAGGCAATGCAAGGCTAGCAACAACAATGTTGTGCGACAGCGGAAGCAAAGGTCGTAAACAAACAAGAAAACAATAAAGAAATTCAATGCAAACAATAAGAACAACACCAAGAATTTACGTGGTTCACTATCGATGTGATAGCTACGTCCACGGGCACCGAGATCGAATGATTTCACTATAAACTGGCAAAGATTACAAAGATTACAATGAAGAACTTAATCACTCAAAGTATTCTCTCTCTTGTGTTTCTCTCTCCGTTACCCTAATAATGATAATAGGAAGTTTATATAGTAGTGATTCCTAATTAAGATATACTTAGGTTACAATATCACAATATGATAAATATTAAATTCGTAATCGCTGAAAAAAACCCAGATCGCCCGGTCGGGCGAAGGCCCGCCCGATCGGGCGCGAGAACACGTCTTTTCCAACAACCGAAGTACTCCAAAAAACCCCTTCCGCCCGGCCCGATCGGGCAATGTCCGCCCGATCGGGCGAAGGCTCGCCCGGTCGGGCGAAAGCTCGCCCGGTCGGGCGCGCGAGAGCAGCTTCTTCAACGAATTTGCCAGGCACCTCTTCTTCTTCCGCCCGGTCAGACCGGGTAATGTCCGCCCGATCGGGCGGACAAAGCAACGAAGTACGAGTCACCTAATACTTATCAACAAACAACTTGGAGTATGGAGGAGAGGTGGCAGCCAAAAATTATTGCAGAAGTTATGGCCATACTTCTTGGTCTTAAAACTGTGGTGGAGTTTGATTTTCGTTAAGTGGGTACAGAGCACAATTGTCTTCCCTAATTAACATTAAGGGCACATAAAAATCCTCAAGCAACAAGTTTGGCACATTACAACTCCACAAACATCACTCATAAGTGGTAAAAGTACAAGAAAATAAAATTTAGGGTTGAAGATATAATATCAATTTAGAGAGCAAGAAACAACAATCCAACAGTTGGCTATGAAGTTTGGGATGGCAAGAACCTTGTGACAAAATTTGGAGTCGAGCAAGCTACGTTTGACCATTTAATTGAGTAGATTACTGTAGCAACTCCAAGGAAGAACCACAATCTATACTCTTTGCCTATCTCTTGTTTTGTACGTGTGTTCTCTTACTAGTCATAAAAGTTTCCCCAACTTTTTCCACTTGAGAAGTCAACCCCCCTTCACATGTGTCCATATGCATAATCCATATATGGAATGTCAACAATAATACATGAGTAGCCCATATATAAGAAATCGGCTCTTCCTCCAAATAGGAGGAAATACCCAACATTTGTGTTTCTTCCAATTAATCAATGTGAGAACAAGTAATGGTAGGCTCGGTAGTCCACTACTAGGTATGATCCAAGGGCATTTAAAAGGGAGTATTTTACTACATTTGCTGGTACATAACAAGCAATGACGGATCTAGGGGATGGCCAAGCAGACCATGGCCCGCCCCATGATCCAAAATAAATATAATTAAGTTAACTTGCACATACATATTTGGCAAATAACTTGGTTGAGTTGGTTGGATCATTGTCCATCTAACTCTTGTGTTAGAGTTCGAAACCTGTAGCCAACAATTGACACTAGATTAACTTATGAATATACTTTAGAGATTTGCCCCGATCCATATTTAATTTCTAGATTCGTCCTTAATAACAAGGGATATCTTATACTAGTATATAATTTAAAAATCATTTTACAGTACCTAACCACAACACTCCAAAATCCCAACTCTCAATTCTCATGCACTTTTTTTTTTTTTTTTCTTTTTTGGAAAATAACTCCCACAACTCCAAATAATTAACTTTCTTCCCAAAAAAACCATAACTTCCTTGCAGTTTAAGCAATTTTATCTATCCGTGCTCATTGGGAGCAGGAAGTCTATTTGTGTTGCATTTGATCCACTCTAGAAAGTTATCAAGTGGGAATCCCGCTTCTTAAACCAAGTATTAGCCAAAATTAAGTCATATGATTGGGCAAAATCCATAATAGCCTCACCACTTGCGTCCCTCTGCCCATACCCAAAGCCTCCATGAACACTCTCATAGTCATCTCGGCTCACCCTAACATGTCCATTTATATCACCTCTAATTATGAGTGATTATGATTAATTAAAATAGGGGTAGCTTTGGAAGTTTAAAGTTTAATGAATTTTTTTTTTGGTGTTTAGAGAGCCAAAAGGGTGGGGTGAGAATCGATCACATAATCTCCTGAAATCGGGATATAAGCTCTAACCACTTAAATTATTCTTCACTCTCAAAGTTTAATGAAATTTAAGTTGTCCTAAAAATAAAATCTGCATTTGATACCACCCAAAATAAAAAACCGGCAAATTCATGTTAACCTACTTGATTGCTATACCAGGTAAATCTAAGGGCATTGCTGGTAATCCACTTACTTTACTCGGGGGCAATTGTGTACATTCCCTGTCATGACGTGGATTTTTTTGCCACGATGCCCATGCCTACACAACATATCGTTAAACGGCAGTTTACAAAATTTCGTCAAGTTAAACTTTTGTTCCGTTTTCTCATTGAACGTCAACGTTGGTTAATTTGTTAGGGTTTGTTCATATTTTTCCCTAATTTCAATTCAATTGTCCTCAACCTCATAATTGAAAATCTCCATTTATGGCCAGTACCCAACAATCGTAATTTGTGCTTGTTCATATTTTTCCCCAATTTGATTTGATTTTAACTGTACTCCTCCTTCTCTCTCTCAGTTTCAGTTCATCAACATCGCACTTGACGTTCTCCATCATTGAAGCAGCTTCCCAGATAACTTCCTTGTTATTTCCTTTTTGTAATCATCATATCTATTTCACAATCTAGGGTTTTATTTTATTTTTTATTTAATTGTCAGTGCTTAAGTTTAGGGTTCCAAAATCGAAAACAATATTATGAGCCTAATAAAATTATATGATTTTTCGAATCAAATTTGGTTGCTAATGTATTGCACAACCCTTTAATGTTAGGATTCAACTATGAATTATTCAAATTTGTTTGTTTACTGAATGTGAAAGGTTTTGATACTTAGACAAATTAAGGGTTTTTGTTTTTGTTTTTATTTTAGATATATCGCACAAGTTACAACATGTCTTCTATAAGAAATGCAATCTCTAAAAGGGAGTACAAGGAGCGATCGCAACCGTGAGTCTTCCTCTCTATTTTATACAGCTGCTATACAGCTGCAAATATTTGATATTTTTGTGTGTAGTTGAGCAAATATTTTTGTTGTGAATTCAGGGCTTCAAGGAAAAAGTTTGGGTTACTCGAAAAGCATAAGGACTATGTTGTTCGTGCGAGAGAATTCCACAAGAAGGAGGATATGTTGCGGGTAAATTTTTATGTTTTGTTATCTTACTCGTCGAACTGCTATCACGCTATTGGTCAATTCTGAATTGGATGTCCTTTTTTTTCAGAGACTCAAAGAAAAGGCAGCGAATAGGAACCCCGATGAATTTTATTTTAAAATGATTAATACTAGTACAAGGGATGGAGTTCATAGACCCGAGTAAGATATATGTTCTTGTTTTGAGAAATGCCTGGTTATAACCATTATGAATGTTTTGTTCATATCCTTTAATACTCGTCCGATCAAACTTCCAGAAACATAACTTTCACGATGGTTATAAATTAAGCATCATAGTTTCTTTGATGCTTATTTGATATTTTCTATTGGCAAATGTTCTGTTGTTTTTCACATTATTTTGTGTTTTTATGTAACCTTAGGAGTGAGGCTAACAAGTATACGCCAGAAGAACTTTTGTTGATGAAGGCACAAGACTTAGGATATGTGCTTCAGAAAATTCAAAGTGAAAAGAAGGTACTTCTAGCATTGTATTTTGAATAGTTTACATATTTTGTTGTGAAAGAGATACAAATGTCTACTGTTTTTTCTTTGTCGTATATATGCTGACACTATGTCTTCTTTGTTTATAGAAAATTGAAAAGCGTCAAGCTGTGCTACATTCTTTAGATAATCGGCCCTCGAGCAAGCACATTTACTTTGCAGAAGACAGGTTTGTGTTTCAATCATTGCTGTCAGGGAATAGTGGAGACGCCTTCCCCTCCTCTCTTTTCCCTATTTCTCATTTTGTATTTGTTTTCTCTCTTCTATATACCAAATATTTAGGTGCTTGTGGATTGAAATCCTTTTACGCTTTCCTTGGTTTTTCCCCAAGTGACGAAAGCCAAGTGCTAACTTAAGATATCCGCAAAATTTTTGTTAAACAGTGAAGAGGCGAATGAGATACTATCAAGATCATCAAACGATGAAGAGCTTCATACATCAGTGTCGGTGCCTTCTGCAATCAAGAAGTAAAACTCATTAATTTATAATATTGTTTTTTGTAAAATCTTTTGGCATTTTAGTCTTTCCTTTATATATTAACTTTCACTGATGCAAAAAGGATATACTCGATTATTACTCGTATTTTATCTGTTAATAAAAATTGATTATGTGGCACTTAGTTGCATTTTGCACAATTTTGAGGGAATGCTGGTTCAGCTGTCTTATAATGACTGAAACTGACATATTAGCCTTGGATCTTGAAAATTCAATTCGGCCTACTGGGGGGTTGTGGGATGCTCACATACCTATTCACCTTAAATATTTGGCCAAACTTGCATTTGATGACTAAACTCAGAATTTAAGATATATGTGATGTGAGCGTGTTGTAGCATGCATAGCTGTAGAATCTGAAGGTAGTTTGGCTTGTAGGCTGTAAACATGGCGTTAGTAATCCTTGCCTCGTGAGTTGTGATTTCCCCAATGGATTTAACATATGATTCATCTAGTAGAGAGCGATGTTATGTAATCTCTGTAGTATGCATTTATGCAAGAGTCCGTAATTCTAGATTGCGTTCAAAACAATTAATTAATTTTTTATGTAATTGGTTTTTGAGTTACTTAGCAATTTCCCAGTGGGGGTTCTGTGCATTTGCTGCACTTTATTTGCATGCTTGCTTATTATCAGCCGAAAATCATTGCTGAAAGGATGTTTCATTGGTTCTGGCTTTTTAAAAGCTTTTGAATTTGAATTTAATTTGGAAACTTGAAAGGTGCTACTGTTCTCTTTCTTCTGAAATTTAAATGGGCTAGTCTCTTTTGCTGTTGTATTCTGTATGTAGCAGTCAACTAATTTAAATGTAGAATCATGTATATTATTGTTTATTTGTTTGGCTTCACAATCAATGATATATGCCTTTTGTCAAACAAATAAGCATTGATTGTAAACATACAAAGTTGCTCATGTGATAGTAAACATTAACTAAAGAAACAAGTTTTAAGAAGTGAGAGTATTATTTAATTTTTCAAAATGGTATGGTGCAATATTTGTGAAAGTTCCTTGAAGGCAAGTGGTGCAATGTTAATAGAATGGAGGAAGTATATTTTTAACTATGGTCACAAAACCAGTTTTATTAGAAACTTGATAGGGAAAGGCATCTGTATTCTTTTTTTTTTTTCTTTAATAATCAATTTGGTTAGCGATCTTCTTTAACTTTGGTTCAGTATTTGTTTGCACTTTTTTGGTGCTTTTGCTCAACAAAGAGTGCATGTTGCCTCTCCCCTTTTTAAATTTGTTGATATTTTGTGTCTTCCTTTCCAATAGTTTATTTATTTTTTAATAACTATTTTCTTCTCCACCAGTCTCTTTTAGTTTTCCCCTGTTTCCTTTTTGGGATGTCCCTTTGCCAATTTGGCTCAGGAGTTAGTGTTTAGGGTAATGTCTTATTATTCTTCTTTTTCTGGTAGGAAGATGAATGCTTCCTACAAAGAGTTAGAGGCAAGAATGAAAAGAGTTGAAAATTTGGAGAGAGTATATGCAGAGATGGCCTTGCAGAAAGAGCTACAGGTACCAATCCGCTTTAAAATAAACATTAAAAATCCCCATTGATTATGTTTATGATATCTCTAAAGTATAGCCAACAAAGTTGAAGCCAAACCTGTTCAGATAAATGTCCTTGACATGTTAATTCGAGAGCCCCAAATGTACAGGACTTTTGGATGGAGATGCCGACCATGCCGTATAAACCAAATTTCTAATTTACTGTCTGTTCATACTTTACTGGGCTGTTCTATTATAGGGTTCTATATTATTATATGAAGTGTGGTTTTTGCTTATTTCTTGGCATTTGCTTATTATGACTAAATCAGTACTTACTAGATCTTCTGATAGAAATTTCCAATGATTGTAGAAATTAATGCCTTATTGAAAATATACTGTCTGATCTATAATGTGGTCCATCGCAAATATCTGTTGGGCCTAGGCACCATATGACACATTCTATATTTCAGGGATTTAAGTTATCATCTCCTAACTCCTAAGATAAAGAAAAGGTCCATGGGGTAATTATATTTTGTGGCTCTGTTTCTGTAAGTTAAATTTTATCTGTAATGATGCAGAAGAAGGGTAGGAAACGCAAGCTTCGGGAAGATGAGATTGTTTGTCCCACTGATAGGCCAGTGTACAAGTGGCGGGCTGAACGAAAGCGATAAACAAGCCTAATATATCTGGCTGATGAAGGACAGAATGTTCAACATGAGCAGGAAGCAAATTTTGGTTCAGTTATTTGGTTTTTAGTAGTGAGATGTACCCTAGTTGAGTCACATTGTAACCTAAACTTTGCAGATTTGAATCACCTTATTATTTTATGTGAGAATAGAAGTTAAGGCCTTAAATGTTACCTTTTGTGCTATTGTGCACTTCAATTTCTTGTTTTATCGATTGCATGGTTGTTGGAAGTTAAAATGGGGGAGCATTTGCCAAGTGATTATTATGGGGGGATCACTAGACACTAGTAAAATGATTAAAATGGGGGGATCACTGTAGATGTGTAGAGATGTCTGATCATCGCCTCATTGGCTATATTGCCGTCTCATCCCCTATACTAGAGTCGAAATCTGAGGTCCTGATTTCTGTTCAAATATTGACTTCGAATTCAAGTGTAAAAAGAAAGGATGCCTGATTGCGTATGCATTTATTTTCTAGGTTGTGTTATGCTAAGTTGTAGCTGGCTGCTGCCCAAACTTGTTGGTGTCCAAAGGTTTTCTCAGAAACCTTTAACAACCAAAGCAGGCCATTTAGTCAATTAATGGATGTGAAATAGACGTTTGGAACTCTGCTTGGCTGCCTGGTATGTCCTTGGTGATTGTACCAACACCTCTACCACTTAGCAATATGAATTTGAAAGTCTGCGACTTGATTGACCATAGTAACAGTTCCTGGTGTGTTGACATGGTGCATGCAAACTTCAATGTGGCTGATCAGGCACTTGTGCTTGCAATCCCGTTATCAGTCCAGAAGCCAAGGGATGAAATGTATTGGTGGCCCTCTAAGTCCGGTGAATTTAGTGTCAAGTCTGGTTATTGGCTGTCAAAACAAAGTCTTATGTCGCTGCAGGATCAGAATGGTGATGATATTTGGAGAACAATTTGGTGTTTAAAGGGTCCCCCAAAGCTCTGCCACTTTCTTTGGAGAGCTTGTGAGGGGTTCTAAGCTGTGAAGGAGAGGCTCGTCTTTCGTCATATTCTGAATGACAAGAGGTGCAGAGGAAGAGTCGATACTGCATACCTTGTTCTGGTGCTCTGCGGCTACAGAAATTTGGGCGGCTAGCAGTTTTGGAGATCTTATTTCACAGCCCCCCTCACCTGTTTCTCTGAGCTTTTCCTGTGGATGGCTACAAAAATGTCCAGAGATGATTTGTTGGGGTTTGCTGCGTTGGTCTGGGCTGCTTGGTGGTGCCGTAACATGGTGATCTTCGAACAGGTTTCTCCTAACCCTGTTTCTGTTGCTACTGGTCTGTGCAAATTGGTTCATGAGTATGGGGTGTATGCTGCAAGGGTGTTTGTTCTGCCTAGCTCCACTAACAGGCCATCTGCGAGCTCATGGAAGCGTCCTACAGCAAGTATGGTGAAGGTTTATTGTGATGCTCACATTGGTAGGGTGACTGGACTTGGGGTTGTCATAAGGGATGAGTGGGGGAAGGTTCTGTGTGCTGCTGTTAGACAGGAACCTGCTGGATGCCCTGTGGACATGGCTGAAGCAGCAGCCTGTCGCTTTGGGATTCAGCTGGCTGCTCGGTTGGGTTTCTCAGATATTCATATGGAATGCGATGCGCTTAATGTTGCTGCAGGGGTTAAGAATAAGGCAGTCTTTTAATAGCTTTGTTATTTCTCATGTCAAGTGGGTACCTTAGCTCACCTCGTTACGAGGTGGGACGCTAGAGGTTGTAACGAATATGTTTGTTTTAAAAAAAAAAAAAGTCAATTGAATCCATTAATGTGATGGTTATGAAAATCAATTGAAAAAAAAAAGATATATACAGCGCTTCAAGTTACATATAATAATAAAAAATTAAAAGTGCAAATTTAATTAAACTATTAGTTACATTGATATTAATTTATGAATATGCTAAGTCTGCATTAATAATTTCATGTCACGGAAAGTTTAATTTTCCTTAAATGTAGATTGACGGGATTTGTTGTAGCATTTTTTTACAGTATGTTATTTTATTAATAATTTAAGGGATTTGTTAAACATCGCCCACAAATTACTACATAAAGCCCACAAAATTCACTTGGTTTCCCAAAATTGCCCTTGACCTTAAAAAAAAAAAACACTCACACTCTCATCACTCACACTCTCATCACTCACACTCTCATCACTCACACTCTCATTGCTCATCTTCTTTCAACCTCTCTAAAAAAAAAAAAATTCAAAATAACGGCAATGTCGAGGCGGCAAGGCAAGGAAGTGGCGGCGGAGGGAAGGATGTCCCAAGGTGGAAAGGTATATTTTGTTTAAAAAAAAAAAAAAAAAAGGGGAAAACCGCCGTGAACGCGGTGGGGCGCCCTGGCTGGACGCCCAGCCGGCGGTGGTGGCGCCAGATGCAGACGCCGCCACCAGTTGGCTGGCGCCAGATGCAGACGCCGCCACCAGTTGGCTGGCGCCTGGGCTGGACGCCACCGCCACGGTTGTGGCGTTTAGTCTAAGCGCCGCAGCCGTGGCTGTGGCGTCCAGCCCAAACGCCAGCCAACTGGTGGCGGCGTCTGCATCTGGCGCCACCACCGCCGGCTGGGCGTCCAGCCAGGGCGCCCCCCCCCCATTTTTTTTTTATTTTTTTTTTAATTTTTTTAAAAAATTGTTTTGAATTTTTTTTTTTTTTTTTTTTTTTTTTTTTTTTTTTTTTGTAATATAATTTTGAATTGTTTTTATATTTTGTTGTTTATTTTTATAAATTTTTTCAATTTCGTTGTATTTTTTCTACGTTTATATTTTGTTTACTATTATTTGTTTGTTTTTAGTGTATTTGATTTGCGATGATGATTATTTATCGTATAAATTTTTGTATGTTTATATATTTTAAAATTTTGTGTAGGGTCGTCATGGTGGGGGGAAGAATATAGAGCTTCTTAGTAGAAGTTATTCAGTGGAGAGGTCGGGGCATATACATGTCAGATCCCGTGGTATTTCGGCCTCAGTTCGTAGAGAACGGATCCACCGTCGGGATGAGGATGACGATGACGATGCTGAGGAGGGTGACCAGGAGGAGGAGCAGGAGGAGGGCGCAGATGAGGATGAGGATGTGGACGATGGCAGTGGACCGTATGATGATTACGGTCCATTCAGTCAGAGGGTTGATGACATGTACGAGACGCATATGGTGGAGGTGCGTAAGGGTAGGGGTGGTAGGTTTGTTAGTAGATCTGGCACATCATCTGCGTCCACTGTCTCTGGGGCAAGCAGGAAACGGTCGAGGGCGGGTAATGATTCTTGGGTTGTTAGGAGTGAGGTGCCCGGTGGGCCTGTTGACGGGAGTGTGATTCCTAGCTTTCTAGGACACATAGCTGCCCGTATTTGGGAGGACCAGGAGAGGCCTTCAGTTACGGGGTTGTTGAAATGTCATACCCGGGAAAAGACTTGTAGTTTTTTGCGTACATGGGCTGAGGCCTGGCCGGCGGAGAGCGAGATGTTCGAGCGACTGGAGGGCACTGGGGTGAAGCACGTTCCTGCCACCATGCACGATAAGATTGACAGTACGCTGATCACGGCTTTCATTGAGCGATGGCAGCCGAATACAAACTCTTTTCACCTTCCGTTCGGTGAGATGACGATCATGTTACATGACGTCGAGGCCATTCTGGGGATTCGTGTTGAGGGTAAACGACTTTGTGCTGTGGCTGATGCGGATCAGGCAGATTCGCTGGCGGAGTTGTTGGCGGTGGACAGGGCTGCACTGTACACCGAGGCGCTAGGTGTTTGGGAACACGGAGGTGTGAAGATCGCATCTGTGTTGCAGCGGTGTTTGTACCCGAGTGCACGTAGGACGCCCGACGCACAGCTGAGTGCTTATGTTTTTCTACTCCTCGGATGTACCTTGTTTCCGGATAAGAGCGGCGGAAACAAGCTCAGGCCACGCAGTTGTTGATGTGCCATGTGCACAATAAGTGGTTCGATTCGGGAAACAGCTCTGCTATGGGGGCAAAGAGACCTCCCTCACAGTCGCTGACGATGGCTGCTGGATGAACATTAAGCCCGATGTAGTTTCTCAGCTTCTCCAAAACCCAATAATAACTTGGAGCCGTCTCATCCCTGATGATTGCATGACCAATCAGAAAGTTCTGGTTCGTTGGAGCCATCCCAACCATCTCAACCAGAGGGAACTTGTACTTGTTTGTCTTGTACGTTGAGTCGATCAAAATCACAAATGGCCAAGACTTGATCATATCAGCACAATCAGGATGCACAAGGAAAAGATGAGTCACCTCCGCTGTATCTTCATCAGAATCAAACCAGAACAGGTAACCACGTGATTGTGCCTGGTGTAGCAGCTGCTGTATAGGGTTCCTTCCCTCTGACCGTTCAAACCTGAGTTGTTGTCTGACGTTGTAGATGTGTCTTCGGTTTGGATGGTCTTCTGGAAATTTCTCTAACACAGATGCTAATATTTTAGCAGGCTTCACTTGAGCATCACTCATTTCTTTCACAACTAGTTTCGCAGCAGGACTTAAGCCGCTCAGTTGTCGATGACCCTCTTCATATACTATCATCTCATGGTTGTGATACCCCCATTTAGAGTAACCTATCACTTCCCAACCGTCACGACTCCGTAGTTGTCGAACCTTTACTCTGAACTCACACCCACAACCTTTCCGCTTTGTGTCAAACCGAGTGGCTGTACGAAAATCTCTTTCTTCTCTTTTGCGATAACGGTCACATCTCAAAATGCGATCCATTCTACCATCCCGTTGAGATTTATGAGTTGCTACTACCAAGCAAAATCCAGCTGCAATTGCAACCTGTTTTGCCCAATCAATCGCCTGTTGAGCTTCTTCGAATGGACCATCATGTCCAAATATCTCACTGTAATCATTTCCGTCTCCACCATATTCCTGCATCAATTATATATTACAATAAATACATTTAACGGATAATACATTTAATTTCTATATTTCCACATAATTAACACAAAAAAAAAACATAATTATATATAATCAAACTTAATTTTTATAAAAACCCAATTCGAATTTTCAAACTAAATTTAAAAATATACCATTTCGAATTTTCAAATTTAATTTTAAAAAAACCTATTTCGAATTTTCAAATTTAATTTACAAAAAACCCATTTCGAATTTTTTTAAAAAATCATTTTCGATTTTTTATTTTCACAAAAAAATTAAATAAAAAAC